TAGGAATTTATGTGGTATTATGCGTAAGTATCTATGTCATTATTACTGCCAGTCAATAGCTCATAAAAAAAAAAATCTATAGTTTTTTGCCCGCTAAAGAGGCACAAGAACCAGAAATTCATTTTCTCTCTCAAAATCTTAGCTTGGTTTCCAAGGGCAAACCTGAGATATCACTTATTCTGCTCTATTACTCTTTCTCCCCCCTTTCTTTTATAAAGAGGATCTGCTCCAGAGGCTATGCAGACAAATGAATTATTCATGGACAAAGAGATAAAAGAGAAGGTTTCAGGGACTAAAATATTTAGGCCTCCGGTTCTAGGAGTTTGATCACATTGACTAAGTGGGCACCAGGGAGCTGAAATAAACCAAAATTAAGAAGTAAAAACTGTGTCAACATCTATTATTTTTTGTGGGAGGAAGGGAGAACCATTTCCATCAATAATGTCAGTGTTAAGGATTAACTTTTGAGGCTGCACTAATTGAAAGAATTGCATGGACATATCATTTATCAATGTGTTCTAGAGGTAGGGTATGAAAACTACAGAAATAAAAGGTATGTAGGAACAAAAAAACATTGTTTCCATGGAGCTCAGATATAATCACCGGGGCCCTATGGAGAAGGCGGATGCAGAGTCAGCCCTTTCTGTGAGACGTGACCTAACAGTGAATCTGCTGGAAATGTCACCACTGCGGGGCCAGCAGCCCTCTCCTTGTTGCTTTTTACAAAAAATCTCTTTGGACTTCTAACCATCAACCTTCTGAGTAATTGGGGATGTCTAGACCAACGGCTAGCTCAAAGCTTTGGTTCACAGGGAACAGATCCCACCTTTCTAAAATAAACAGCTGTAGGGGGTGACATGCTCTTTTTGGAAATCAATTTAAAGCATACAATATTTATTGAGCTCTGCATTTTCTCTATGAGGAAAAAGAGATCATCTTAAAAAGAAATACAGCAGAATTCTTTACTGCTGGATCCAAAGAGTGATGTAGTGATGACTGCAACTTTTTTGATTATAAATCTCAATATTAGGTTCCAGAAAGCTTGGGAGTTGAAGAGAATCATTCCCTTCATCAGGAACTACATGATTCTGTATTAATGATCCTCTGACAGGAATGAGCACCAGGGATGTCACGAACAACAGGACGTCTATGGTTCACCCAGCTAGATGACACATAGGGGCATCATTAAGAGAGTAAGAGTTCTTATCACAAGGAGAAAATTTTTTTCCCTTTATTCTTTTCCTCTTATTGTATCTGCACGAGAAGACAGGTGTCAGCTGAACCTGTTGGTGATCATTTCACAGTAGATGGAAACCCAACCATCACGCTGTACGCCTTAAACTTATACAGTGATATGTATCAATCATTTCTCGATAAAACTGGACAAAAATAAATTTAAAAATGGTAACTGTGAGGGGCTGGATGTGCTCATTAACTTGTGATAACCATTTCAAAATGCATACACATATTAAATCATCATATTGTACACCTTTTAAAAATCACATTGTATAACCAGAATATATGTGCTTTTTTTGGCGGGGACGTCAATCACCTCAGCAAAGCTGGAAAAACTACAATAAAATAAGGGAAGCTATATGTATGATAAAAACTTTAAAATTTGGTCCCTTTCTAAAGAAAGGCCAGCATGCCCACCCATGGTGGGGGCGGTGAATACACTGTGCATATCATTGTAGGAGTCCTGGGGGGCTCTGGTTAGAGCGGTTTCCAAGTCAGGATTTTACACTCAGTGGCTGGGTGCCCACTGCTATGCCGAGTGCCCCCAACCTCGGTCCCCCCGAGGCCGCACACCTCCATAACACCTGCCCCAGCTTCCGCCCCGAGTCCACTCAGACTCCCTTGCTGGGCCTACTCTACCATGCGTCTACACTGCTGTTGGCGCATGCCATACTCGGTGGCCCAGTGGACACCCCAAGAGCAGAGACCTGGCTGAACGTTTTCTTTGCCTCCCACTCAGGCCTAAGCCTGGAGTGTGTCCTTCTAAGGACTCCTCATTAGCTGCAGAAAGGTACCTGGCCAAGTCACCCATACTTTGTAAAAACTCATTCAAGTACACTTACTAAGCAGTGGGACCCTCAGGTAGGTGATGCTCAGTGATATATCTCACTTACTGGGTCCAAGGGGCTCAACCGTGCGCAGTAAAAAGAGTAAATTTGGGGCTATTTCCTATATTGGTGCTTTCCAAACCTAGTGAGCAGCAACGGTCTGGAAGGACTCAGACTGCTGACTCCCATCCCCTGGGTTTCTGATTCAGGATGTCTTGGGTGAGGCCCAGGAACTGGGCCTATATTTCTAACTTGTCCCCAGGCCCTGCTGCTTCTGCTGCTGGTCTGGGGAGCTCACTTTGGGTGGCACTCTCCTTGATGCAAGGTAAGCATCTGGACATTGACTGAGTCCACATACAGGCCCCAGAGATACAGCAACACAAACCCAAAGGCAGCCTGTCAATGGTGGTTAGGGACGGTGGAGGAGACCCACATGACGTGCATGGACATACAATAAACACACAGTTACAAGTAAGAAAAGTACTTTCCACAGAAGGGAAGGGAGCACTAGGAAAGAATAAGGGGTGGCTGGTCAGTTGTGTTCTCTCCACATTCAGGCGGAGGCCTGAAGGCTGAGCAGGTGGCAGAACGGCAGGCAGGACGAAGAGGCAGAAACTTCCAGGCCCAGGACAGAACTAGTGAAGACTCTCAGGCAGAAAGGACACCTGTTTGAGCACTGAAAGGGCCAGACCCCTGAGACAGCGTGAGGCTGACGGGGACACCCTGGCCGGGAAGGTCTCGGTCAGGAGTTTCCATGTTATTTCTCGAGCGACAAGCAGCAGCTTGAGGCCTAGCTAGACTGCCACGAGGCCTGTATTTGACAGGGACAGACTTGACCTTGTTGGTTTGCTAGGACTTACAGTTAACTCTGGAATGAAATTTCAAATGGCATCAAATTATCATTCAGAAACTGATGAATGGATAAGCAATATGGCGTGTCCATGCGGTGGAACACTATTCAGCCATAAAAAGGAACAGGGTGTCAGCACACGCTGTGATATGGATGAGCCCTGAAAGCATGACGCTAAGTGAACAAAGCCGGACACAAAAGGCCACACATAATCCCACTTATAGGAAATGTCCAGAATAGGCAAGTCCATAGAGATGGAAGGATCGGTGCTTGCCAGGGGGTCGGGGACAGGGAACACGGGGACTAGGCGGTGACTTTATTAGGTATGGGGTTTCTTTCTGGGGCTGATGGAAATGTTCAGGAATTACAGAGTGGTAATGGTCTCATGACACTGTGAATATACTAAAAACCATAGCAATTATACCCTGTAAAATGGTGACTTTTATGTTATGTGAATTATGCCTCAATTAAAAAATCATAACTAGGAAATAAAACTGACTTCTTAGAAAATGGCATTCGGAAAATTGTTTCCTCCAGACTCTTAGAACACATGACTTTACTCAGACCTGCAGAATCTCTGTCTTGGGTGACAGCTCTTCCTCCCGACAAGCAGAATGCACATGTCAGGCTGAGGTTCAAGCTGCTATCTGTCAGGCACGTTGAGGCCATGACACGAAGTGGCCCCTTCCTGCCCCTCACTCGCCTGGGGGGCACTGGGAAGTTGTGGAAAAGCAGGTGTGTTTCAGACCAGGGTAAAGTGAGTGACCTTGACTTTTTCCCTCATTGGCTATGTACGTGGCCTGGGCCAAGCTGTGAAGAGTGTCCCCATCTCTAAAATGGGGAAAGAGCACTTGTAAGACTATGGAAGGAGTAAAGGTAATGTGTGCAAGGAATGCACTGAAGCAGCAGATACCTAGTAAATTGTGTTGTTAATAGTCTTACGGATACACTCCACAGCATCTTGGCAGTGAATGCATTTTATAAACGTTCTATGGAATCCCCCATAGCAAAGAAAGAACTGGTGGGTAACACTTTGAAAAACAGAGCAATTTTTTTTTCAAATCCAATAATCATCTCCTGACATACATGTTTGGAATCTTAGACTGATTTCTCCCCCCATTCTGTGAGTCAGTCTCTTTGCTTCAGTTTATGCTTGCAAAGTTATGTTTCTGAGAAGTTGCATGCAAATCACATTTTCCCAATTCTGATACTATTTTCCCATTGTTCCACATTATATGCTCAGGGGTGATTTATCTTCATTTGTGATTCATTTTCAATTGGCACCAGCTCCTCACACTCCAGTTTGAAGCCTCTTGTCTCCCCAGACTCTGTCAAATTGTAAAAACATACTTTAAAGTTCCCTTGACATTTGAAGGCACCCCCACTCACCTATTTTATAAAATCAGACTTTTAGTGCTAAGGCTTTCCTACAAGCAGGGGATAGAGCTGTAGTTCTGGTTCAGCAGTAAATACCAAATAGGCTTGCTTACTTTCCACGGAATACCCCACAGGCTTTCAAAAGCAAGGCAAAGTGATGCAGAGTGAAGTTCAACCTAAGCAGCTTGGCGTTGCGTGGGCGAGGGGCGAGGGGGAGGCTGTGGGAACACGGCAGGGGGCAAGTCATGGGCCCCCCCCACCCCCCGCCTATCCGCACTGGGTCCCTGCAAGCCCTCTGATAACACGCCCAACAAACTCATGTAGTGGGGATCAGCTCTGCTTTGCTTGAGTGGAAAGAGGTGCTGGCTCTCCATTCGCTATGCACACAAGAAGCATAGTGATGGCTGGGGTCCCAGGTGCCTCGGGATGCCTACGTTTGGGAAGAAACGAGCAGATGCAGTTTGTCCCATCTTTGGCCTCAGACTTGCTGAGAAGGAGCTCCCACGGGCTCCTTCTCATGCCTCGTTTTGACACCCACAGAGTGCTGTGGACCGTTAGGATCTCACAGAAAGGCACATTCCTCTGCTTTCCTCAGTGAAGCTGTCTCCCTGCAAGGGATGTGACCCAGCCAAGGTCATGACCCACAGAGACGTACAGGCGAGCCCAAGCCGTGGCCACACTCACCCACCCGTGTGGGACTGGGGATGACTTCATCCTTTTTCTCTTCCCCTTAGACACTCGTCCTGTCTGCACACTCAGAGCAGCTGTGATGGCTGCAAAACATCCCAGGAGGAGGCCAGCGTGACCACATCAGTCAGCGGGCCACGGCTGAGCAGTCAGCATCCCGACCACCCTCTGCCACAGGACAGCCGGGGCATGGGGTTCATGCCCCGCGAGGCTGCTGCCTCCATCCACCAACTCCTCAGCAGCGGACGTGTGCCCAGCTCTCAGATGCTCAAGCGACGTAGAAAGACGATTGGGGGTAATTATGGATAGCGATCCCGAGTGCGAAATTATAACCCAGCTGAACCTCTCCTGACTGCTTACCGGGTGCCCTACACGGCGCTAAGCTCTGTTTGTGCCTCATCTTACGCAATTCTCTTGGCTCCTTCTGAGGCAGAGACTAAGATCATCCTCAGCGGGGACCGGAGGGGAGTAGCTCTCTGTGTCTGTGTGTGGGGGGAGGTCATTGAGGCCAAGTTAAAACATTGATGGAATGTGTTTTTTCACTTTCAGGGTGAATATCTTTTTATTGACTTCTTTTGGGGGGAATAAAAGTCGTCTTTGTACAGATACCTACTTTATGAATAGAAGAATGCTAATTTTAAAAACACTGCATTTTAGACAAAGATCTAGGCATTTCTGAGAAGTAGCCAAATGAAAGCAGCTTCTAACATCTCTTGTCCTGGCATCAGATGCTGGCTACTCTGCAGAGCTTGGAGGGCTTCCGAGTGGCCCAGGATGGTGTAGATACTGCTACTGCATAATTTAAGTGACTGTCCTCTACATCTGAGTTCTTATAAATTCTGGAGCAAACTAGTTTAGAAGAGATTTGTAGCTCTATTAAAGTCTAGTGAAGGGCACAGTACCAACTGGATCAGGCTGGGGTAGGAGGTTTCTATTGCTCAAATTCTAGTCATTTCCAGACTCCTACTCATGTTTTGGCAGCTCTGTGATTAGAGCATAAGGGTTCAGCCTTTACACTGTGGCTCTGATGGTCTCAAGTACTTGGAAATGAAGTATAAGATGTCTAAACAACTCATCAAGTATTTGATGTACGCTATGTGCATACCACGAAGCCAGCTTTGGTGGTGTTCAAAACTGTCCAGCAGGGCCTTTGTCTTCACTCCGCTTACACACAATTCTGGGAGATAAGACAAATTTGGTGAAAGACAGCTGGAGAACACGCTCAAGTACGTAACCATGCAGGGTACCGGCTGCAGATGAACAGTAACTGTAGAACGCATGGAAGAGAGGAGGGGGACAGATGGTGAAGGAGAAGGACAGGCTCCGGAGGCAGAGAGAAGACAGGGCACAATGAACACACACCTCGTGTGTGAATGGGCCCAGGGTTTTCTAGAGAACTTGAGCTCACTGTGTGTTGGAGAATCATGGTAAGAATGGTGGAATGTCTGCCCTGGATAAGCCAAGTCATAGGGACCCAACCCTGTTTCTCAGCAGGAAAGAGTCACTTAACATTTCATTCAATCTATATTTATTGGCATTTATTGATTTATAGGTCTCATGCTGGGGATTCAAAGAGAAGACACCACATGTCAGGTCTCAAGTAGCTCCTACTCCATAAATATAAGCAGACCGATGAACAAATTTCATGGAATGCACATACTATGACCAAGTTGTAAGGGGCTAAAGAGGAGGAAAACTTCCAGCTGAGATGGGGCAGGGGTGAGGGAACAGGAAAAGCTTTGAAAAGATGATGCTGGAGTTGTACAGTAGAACACAAGCGGATGCGGGGTCCCTGGGTGGCTCAGTTGGTGAAGCATCTGCCTTCAGCTCAGGTCATGATTCTGGAATCCTGGAATCGGAATAGAGCCCAGGGTCAAGCTCCATGCTCAACAGGGAGTCGGCTTCTCCCTCTGCCCCTCCCCTACTTGTTTTCTCTCTCTCACTCGCTCACTCTCTCTCTCTCAAATAAATAAATAAAATCTGTAAAAAAAAAAAAAAAAAAGGACACGAGCGCATGCTAACTCACCAAGCAAAGGTTAAGATTAGCACATGCTAGACAAGAGAACTGTACGAGCAGGGACGTGGGGAGGTCAGTATCCAGGGGTGTTTGAAATGAGGGTAATTACCTGGAGGAGGAATGGAGGGTGTGTGATCTGGGAGGGGGTTGCATGGAGGAGGAGGGTGGTAAGCAGCAACAAATACAGCAACAAAGACACGGGGACTTACAAGCTATCGTAAGGAACTAGGACTTCCCATTCTCAAAAGAGGGAAACCATTAAAGGTGAGAGAGCAGGAGTGACATGCTCCAGCCTCAGCCGGCAGATAGACAGAGGGACACGACACGTCTGGTATTTGAGTCTGGAATCTTTATAAGATAAGTCAGTGACAGGAACTTTCTGGAAGGTCATCCAGGAGACCTGAAATCCCCTAAATGTACACTGATGCAAACCTGGCGCAGAGCAGGGAAGAGGAAGGGCATCCCAGGAGGGACTCTGAAGGAAGAAACAAGAACTTAGATTAGATCTAGACCAGGAGAGCAGAACGGGCTCCTGTCGGCCTGAGAAGAAGGAATGCAGTTGGGAATTAAAGCCAGGGAGGGCAAGGGGGGACCAGGAAGTCACATTTGGAGAGGCTGGTTTTGGGGGATAATGGGACATCCGTGAAGGACTGGACAGTGGGTGACAGGTCAGGGCTGGAGGCACTCATTTTGGAACCCGTGGCAATGGGAGGTAGGCCTCAGAGAAAGACGAACGAATTAAGACCCAAGGGGCTGAGGACTGCGTGCCCTGGCACCCACCCACACTTAGAGGCCTGAGGAGGAAGGACATCAGTAGTGAGACATTTGGGGGACACTAGGAACACCATGGAAGTCAGAGAAAGGGGTCCTTCAAGGAGAAGAAGACAACACGGCCAGAAGGCAAGGAGGAAGTGGACTGAGGAAAAGGCTTTGGAGTCGACAAGAACGTGGCCCTTCCTCTGGGGTCCCTGGAAGAAGGAGGTGGGGAGAAGCCGGACAGAGGGAGAAGAGGCATGCGGCAGGGCCCACAGTTATATGCAGTGTGCCTGCAAGATGAAAGAGAAAAATCTGACTGGGACTGGGTGGACAGATGGATGAATGGATGGGGGGATGGACGCAGACTCTTCTTTAACAATGGAGAGATCAGAGCATATTTAGAGAGGGAAAGGAGAGAACAAATGGGGAGGGCCTAGGAAAGATGGTAAAGGCAAAGAAAATAAACCAGGACACAAAATTCTGGGCTTCTGGAGGAGATTACAGGCAAAACAAAACAAAACAAAATTAAAAAAAATAAGATAAAATGGCTCAGGGAACAAAATGTTACCCCTGTTTCTCAGAAAGTGGGAGAAGGAAGAAAAGGCATCCACAGGCTGTTGATCTATTGATGTAAGGTTAAGAGTAATTGCTTAACTCATCCCTTCATTTTGAAGCTATCATGAAACAACCCAGATTTCACAGTTCCGTCCTCAATAAAATGCCCACGGACAACCCTAGGTAAACTCTGCTGATATCCAGCCATCCAGGCAGGTACATATTTAAGCTTCTGTTCTTCTACAGCAAAGAAGAAATGCCACTTAATATTTCAGTGAAGAGGCTTTCAAAATTGTATAAGATAATTTCTCTTTGGAAAATAACTCCAGTTATCCTTTAAAAGATCTGAAAGCAGTTCCTAAGAAAACCCTTTCAGTGTTGAACCTCAAACTGTCCATCTCAAACGAACTGTGCTGCATAGGGAGTCGGAATGCTGGGAAGCCTAAGAAGAATCAAGTGCGTGCTCACTCTAAGCATTACCGTCTTTGGAGATGGTTTTAAAATACCATCACATAAAATGCTTGCGTATCATATTAACTCTTCTTGCCATTTCTCCTAGACAAAAGAGCTTTGATTCCACTCAAGTACAATGTCAACAACGCCAGCAATGAGAAACATTTCGCCAACCCAAGTTTCACTCACGGATCGCAGCAGAAACAGGAACTTGGAAGCCGTCATCCGCCTGCCCATCCCTGCGGGACATCGAGGAGGGCGCCTGTTGTCAGTGACGCATGGGCAATCCCAGCGTCTGGATAGGTCCTGAGAAACTCCTGTGCTTCCTGGCCCTGAGTCATAAGGAACTGATGGCATTTCACAGCCCAGGAAGAAAGGGAATTACTTAAGACAAGGCTGGACGCCGACTCTGAGAGTAAGTCATCAACCAGGAATTCTTCACTATTATCTCGTTTTCGGTACTCGTAAAAACGTCAACCATAAATAATGAATGCATGACTAAAAATACCGCTCAAATCAGCGTGGTGGCAACTAAGAGATAATACAGTCAGCACACAGTGGCCATAACTTCACCTCCTTCTCTGTCTGGCCATTCACTAAAATTCCAAGAACTAAGAACGAGGCCCACTTCCTGAGCTCCCACAGTGACCCAGTGACTCAGTGATGGGCTCTTGGAACTTGGTAATCTCTTCAAACCAAAGACGTGAGAATCAGAAGGGTCTCTGAGGGCCATGAGGGCAGCAGGCCGTGGTGGAGGGCTGCAGGAGAAAGAATCTGATGCGGGTTCGAGTCCCAGGCCCTACCCTCTGGTGGCTCCAGAGTTCATCACTGAAATTTCTTGGGCAATGTATTGCATTCCTCCAGGCTTCACATCCTCATCCACAAAATGAGGATGGCACATATAAATCCTACACATCATCGGGTTATGGAAAGAATCAAAGGCCACCATTCACGTATTCTTTTCAAAATAAGGCCTAGTCTATGTGCCAGGTGCTCGCCTCAGCACTGGGACGAAGATGAACAGGATGAGCAAAGTTCCCCACATGAGAGCACTCACACACAGCCTGGTGCATCGTGAATGATCATTTCCGTCCTTCCTTGTGCTTCACACTCTCACCTAGCACACACACACACACCACTGTGTCACCACTGGGCTCTCCTGGATGCTTCCCTTGGTTTCCCCACCTATCCTTCATATCTTCCACTCCCTGGTCCATTGCTGCCCTCCATGGCCAACCAGGAGACATCTCTGTCCTCTGACTGGCTCACCAACAGGTACAGATCTTTCAGTGTTTGGGACCATCACTGAGTACGTTCCACAAGCTAGGTCTTGCCATAAGTGCCTCTCAAGTGTTTACCTAGTTTATTCCTAGAACCACCCACTGAGTACAATGAACTATCATTCATTTACAGTTTAAGGAAACTGAGACACAGAGCAGTTAAATAATCTGCCTGAGACCACACAGCTTCTGTGTCTAAGTCCTGCCTCCTTGCCTCCTCTCTTTCCAGTTAGCTCTGGAAGACCTTTCTCATTCTATAATCAACTTCCTCTCCTTAAATCTAGCCACACCTGAAGGTTGGAGTCAAATGCAAACACTCTGGTCTCCATCACCTCTAAATCACCAAGAGGGAGCTCTACGTGGGGTTTAGTGGTAGTGGGGGTTGGGGGTGTAGTGTGTTTATCTGCAAGGGGACACAGAGAGCTTAATGAGTCTATAGAAGTGCTTTGGAAAACCATTATCAGTATGTAGTCTTTGCCTACAACATAATTTAAACTGCAGGAGCTCTAAATGTTTCCACGGCTGCATTAGCTTTTCTCCTCCTGAATTCATCTAGCACTTTGTTACGTGCCCAGGACGTATAGACCCACTGCTCTGACTAGTCATGCTGGACCATTTATCATGGTCCTCTATCAGGCTGAAAATTTCTTAAAGTTGGAACCTGGGTCTTGGTTTCCATTCTGCTTAGCACAGGGGCTCATGCACAGTAAATCACTGATAAACGTCCGCTGGGGGAACCAGAAAGAGAAAGAATGAATGAGCAAGATTGTGGTGCATGGCCAGATTCCACCCTAATCATTAGGGCAAGGACTCCAATCCATCCAGGATGACCACAGAAAGCAGGAAGCCAAGCATACAGACTGCAGGGCTCTTCACAGGCCCTGGCTGAAGTTCCTCCGTGCAGCATATTCCCAGAATGTGAAATGGGGATTCAAGGAGTCAACAGACCTAACAACCATCCCTCATGAACTGACACCCACTGTAAGTGAAGGGGCCCACCTTTACTTAAATAAACTAACATTTAGTAGATAAGATTTGAGAACAAACAGCCGTAAGATAAACCAGTGGGGACAACCCAGGCAGACATTTTGTTCACATGTTTATGGGGAGGGCTGTGTGCATGTGTGTGTGTGAGTTCATTAGACATCCAAAAATGAGTATTTTTAGAAAGGGAATGTTATGCTGTGGCCTTGTACTTTTATTGTATCATACATTTTACTCGAGTGTTTAAAAATAATTTTTAATCTGTCAAGACTCTTACATTTAAACAGCATTTTTTTTTTTTTTTTGGTTATTTTGGTGGATGGAGGTGGTATGTGGATGGGAAATTAGAAGAATAAATTCCAGGGCGCCTGGGTGGCTCAGTTGGTTAAGCGACTGCCTTCGGCTCAGGTCATGATCCTGGAGTCCTGGGATCGAGTCCCGCATCGGGCTCCCTGCTCGGCAGGGAGTCTGCTTCTCCCTCTGACCCTCCCCCCTCTCATGTGCTCTCTCTCATTCTCTAATAAATAAATAAAATCTTTAAAAAAAAAAGAAGAAGAAGAAATTCCAATAGGGACAAAAAACTTCTTGGGAGTTTGAAGTCATTAGCTTTCTTCTTCTTCTCCTTCTTTTTCTTCTTAACTTACTGAAACTGTTATCAAGATCATTACAGAATTACATGCAGTTATCAAAAACTAATAGAGATTCTTTGTACAATATGTCCAGTTGTCCCAATGGTGACATTTTGGCAAAACTTTAGTACAATAACATCACGACCAGGATGTTGACATTGATGCAATCCACTGATCTTATTCAGATTTCCCATTTTAATTGTACCCTTTGTATGTGTGCATCATTAGCTTTTTACTTGGAATAGCTTATATTATTGATCTGCTGTCAATCATTCCAATTTATAATTAATACACAACATCTGATTTTTGGCTCTTACAAAGTGGCAGGCATGGTGCCAAGAACTTTACATTCATGATGTCAATTAATCCCCATAACTTTCTTGCCTCCTCCTTCTGGTAATAGAAACTCTGCCTCCCCCACTGGCCAAAGGAAGTGCCTTGTTTTTCTCCAGCCAAGAGGTGGGGACATGTCTAAATGGACCACCTCTCTGGAATGTGACCCTGACAGGAGGATAAAAGGAATGTCCTTATCAGACCCTGATGAGCCTGTCCACTGGTTCTTCCAATAAGACCTGAGTGGCCCTGGTCCCCATCTGTGTGAGACCTGGTTCTTCGTACTTTTTCCTAACTCGGTCAGCTACTCCACATCCTTCCTGTAGACCCCCTTTCTGAAGCAGGCAGGGTCTGCTCTGATGCCTGTGGTCAAGCCCGTCAACGGAGTGCGTGCTGGGATCATGAGTCTCTCTTTAGAGCAGGAAGCAAGCCAAAGAAGCTAGGGAGGCTGCCCAGGCCACATGGCTAAGAAGTGGCAGAGCGTGGACATAGAGCAGCCTGCCTGTGTGCAGAGCTGATGCCTTAGCCGCAGGGCTTACTGCCTCCCACGGCGTGTAGGGCTGGACAGAGGTGGCATTTGTGACACATGGTCTCTTCTTTGGGATATTTCTAGGTGGTAAGTTCAGAGTGGATACTTGGTCAGGGCTATTTTCTCAGCACAGAACACGCCTCGCTAGGACAGATTCCTGTTTCCAATGCCATTACATAAGTCCCCTGCCAAATGACATCTAACACTCACTGATTAAAAGTATCCCTTCAAGTCTGTCCTTCCCTGAACCTCTCTCCCCAGGGTCCAAGCACAGGAAATGTTGTTCTACCACTCTTGACATTTACTACAAAAATTTCTTACAAATAAAAAGAGAGTGAGCCAGAGAAAGGGGGAAATGCATACATTAAACTTTTGAATCACCACGAAGCATTTCTTCGGCATTACTCGTGCTTTTACAACTGGTCTTCATCAAAGGGTTTTCATCTGCTCGCCAGTGTGTCATCTGTCCTAATGACTCACGATGAGGGCTCATTCCTTTCAGCATGATTTATACTAGCTTATCATTCCCTTGTTCTCCAGGGGGATGCTGAGCTACAAGCGAGATCAGCCCATGGAGGAATAATCGCGAACCAGCCAAGTCCTCATGTTAAGGAAACCAGCTAATGTGCTGTCCGCAAATGAACCCACTGGAAGACTAGAAGGAGACACCTGCTTACTGTCACAAGGTAGACTAGATAAGCAGGGCACCACCCATCCCCAGGAGAGAACTCAGTCCTCTGATAGCCTTTAGACTCACTTTCCTTTAGAACATCTTTGGGGGAAGGATGTGGGAGTCTTCATAACCACCCAGGTCATCCTTGCAGAGGGGTTCCTGGGTGCAGGCACCATATGGGGGTGGGATAAGCCATGCACAGCCATGGTTCCTGCGTGGCCTGAGCTTGCCCAGGTGTGGTGAGAGAAGCTTCACACACGAGTGAGGTAGGTCCCAAGCCTTCCCGTTTCCTTCCCAACCCTCCCGCAGGTCCACCAGCCCTCAGCATCCTGTTAACCGCCCAGCCTGAAGCTCAAAGAGAGGTCTGCACACAGGCAAAGGATGTCTGGGAGTGTATGAGCCTGGGCATGGTGGCATTGTCTCTGCCACCTCTACCAGGAGCCAAACCCACATAGTGTGGACTGCCCAACGGCCTCCTGAGTCCAGGGCAGGGCAGGGGAGGTAGGCACTGGCAGGCTCTATCAGGCACTTAGTGCCCTGCCCAACAGCAGCTCCTTTTCTATCTCCTTACACCAGCCTGGTCCTCCACAGTGGCCCTCAGCCCTGTTGCCTAATCAACTTGCCTGGGACACTGAACAAAAAAACACTGATGCACAGACAGAGGTAAATCCAATTAGCCTCTGACCTAGGGATTCTTGGTTTTGTTTGCTTGTTTGTTTTAATTCTAATATGCAAGCAGGATGGAAAACCATTGGTCTGGCATATAACAATCATATTATCTGAATGAATGAAGGGATAGGTGTTAAGCACAGAGTCCCATGACCCTGTCACAGCGGAATAGCAAGTCCAATGTATTAGGAAGCAACACCAACTCTGGGTTTGTCATCTGGAGCTTTGCTTCAATTTCCAACTCCACCACCATGTGACCTAGGTGAACCTGGGCATGCACCTCTCTGCTCTTCAGGTCTGCGTCTGTAAAATGGGTCACTTGGACAAGATGAATTTGAGATGTCTTCATTCACCGTGCACTCAAGCATCCAACGCCATGAGCATCCACTGTGTATGTGGCTCTCTCCTGGGTGCTGGGGATTCAGCCAGAGACCAGACCAGCACCTGCCCCTCCAGGAGCTTGCACCCCGGGAGACATTCTCCTTCCACTTTGGACGCTCTCCAAATCTAGAGGTCTACTTCATTTATCTGAATAATAGCCCAGTTCAGAGAAGCAGAGATCATGCCAAGTAAGAGTAACTGGAAGCAAGTGTCCCCTTGAGTCCCTGGAGGGCTGATGGGAGATGAGGTTAAGTAGGAGGGTGGATCTATCCAGAAATCTCTTTCCTATTAATATCAACACTGCAAAGGCCAGTTCTAAAGATTCATTTTAGCATATTTATTCCTAACAAGTCCTGTTCTCGTGGCTTTGAGGTGGGAATGACAATGATGACAATAAAGGGACTGTGGTTTTGCACTTCCTACTTTTTGCAGACACTCCCTAACCTGCTCTTGGCAGCTGCCCACTGGCTGCCCCATGCTCCCCAACCTGCCGGTGCGTCCCTGTCCCACGTCCACAGCTCTCACACTGCCCCTTCTTCCCCCAACATTCCACGTCCTGCATATGTGCTCCCACCTCACTCTACAACGTGCCTGTAAAATGCAGTGACACCCAACGGTCAACCTCCACAGACAGACCAGGAAGGACAGACATGAGACAACATTGTCCTCAAGCCAGGATGCCAGTTACGCTCACTCCAGTCTTCCCACCAAAACCTCCCGAGTAAGAAACCCCGGAACCTCCGCATCATCTGCAGCTCCGGGGTCAAGATGGGCCACTCAAATGGAGATGGTCTCTTCACAGCCCAGAGAAAGTGGGAGCTGCACTGATGTTAGCAAAGTAACGCTTTCTGACCCAAATAAAACTTAGAAGCAAGGGCTTCTTTAGGCACACGAGAATCCCTTACTTTCTCCAAGTTTCTCAGGCACACAGAAGTGGTAACGTACTTCTATGCTGTATTAAAAAATTTTTTTACTGACTCTTTAAATAAAACTCTATGCACAATAGTAAAAGAAAAATGGGGAACTATGACCTGCCATTAGGAATTACACCTCGTGTAAAATACCAGAACTGCTTCACGAAATAACTTTCATCCATCAACTGTGGAGGTGGGCAGGGAAATACAACTGTCCTCATTTTATAGAGGTGAGAACAAAGATAAAAATATATAAATGCAGAGGTTAGAATAAAAAAGAATCAGTCTTTCCAAGGATTCAGGAAAAGACTCAGCTGAGCAAATGATGCCAGACATTTATAAGCAGGAGATTCTTTAACCAGAAATCATGGATTTCTGGGCAAAGGGAAGTGTCCTTTCGAGTACCGACCCTGAGACAGCTAGGAAGCGAGGTATCTGTCATATTTGCTCAAGATAAAGGCACTCCCAAAGAGAAAATGCTTCTCAATTTTCACAATAAGGAGATACCAGAAGGATCTTTGATCATATATCTATACACAGTTTATAGCGATATCTACACATACTGTAAAAGAGTCAACTGTTCACTTACAGCATTTGTTTGGTTACATAGTTAAGATGCATTACATTAGCTAATTGATTAATATTGCTTTTTCCCGTTCTCACATCTCACAAAACACTTATTTGAAATCTTTGTCCTCGGAGTCTTTCTGAGTCACTTCACAGTTTTCTAGACTTAGCGTCTCCACCTGCATCTGAACAGTTCAAGATTCAGCAACTGTCCCCTAACCACTTCTTAAACTCCTCGACCTCAGTGGCCACAGTTTCCACGCTGGATGAGCGCCACCGGCTCGCACGCGAGCCCCGGGCATGTCCCTCGGGGCCTCTGATGCCTGCTCTGGACTCCTCCATGTCACTCTCTGTGCAGCAATCAGGCTGTCATTTTTTAAGACACAAATTTCACTCTGCCACTTCCCACAGTGTGCAGGACAGAGCCCGAAACCCATCCGAGGCTTGGTGGCTGTGCTCTTTGTGGGTCCTCAGCCTCCAAGCCTCTGCCCAGCCCCGCTGCCACACCACCAGCTCCCGCCCCGCTGCCCCTGCAGCCTTTCCACCCCTGCACCCGTCTCCTCCCGAAGGTGACCTGGCAGAGACGCACTCCTGCCTTCCTCTCGTTCACACTCTCTTAGGCGCGTCCAATGCTTATAACCATAGAATTCATTGTTTGTAGCCTCCCCTCTTCGTCATCTCACTGTCCCACTCGGCTGCAAGTTTTTGGGGGGCAGGACGCCTTCTCCTCCCTCCCACACTGTACCCCAGTGTTTGCACCGTGCTTACTGTATGGTAGCAGGTCAGACAAAGTGAATGAGTAATAGCAGCACCAGCTAACATTTAAGGGACACTTATTATGCCTCAGGGTCTACACTAACCCCATTCATGGCTTATTGATTTAATTCTAAAAACAACAGGAGAGTCTTGATGATCCCCATTTTGCAGACACCAAGCCAAGGCTTCGAAAGGTTAATTCCTAAATTCACACGCCTCAGCCTAGGCTTCATCAGGATGATCACATCCCAGCCCGATGCTTCCAATTCATCTAGTAAAATAAATAACCTTCTTGGATATCTGAGCAAATGTGACACAGAAGAAAAATACTTTTAAAAAGGCCCGCAGAAGATCTAAGAGGACAAACCAAGCTCTGGAGAGTCAAATAGTAAGTTTATAAAATGAACTGAAACCTACTCGCTCCAAAAACCCTGTTGTCAAAAGTTTTGTAAAGTTTGTTTATTGAAAGAGGTATCACATGCTTTCCTTAATAACAAAAGCAGCAAGTCACTCGTATTTTTTTGTTGTTGTTCACTTAAAAGTTCTCAGGCACATGATCTGGTCTGAAATAGCTAAATATTTCACTAGGGGAAAATGCAATTCTAATACCTGTATTTTACATGTAAGTGTGACATCCTGATTTCTTCTGTTCTCCATTGCAATAGCCCCGAGTGCTCCCTGGGCACTGTCTACACAGGGGTTGGGGGGGGAGCACTTCTTCCCCAGCCTCTGTGGGAATTGAGCCAGTACAGTGACCCAGCTGCTGACATCTACCTGTAGGAAAGGTCTGAAATCGTCACAGTGCGGCTTGGTGGGCCAAACACATAATACTGAATATTTCTTTTAAAAAGTAAACTGAGGGATATAGAGCCAACCCATTAGCAGTGGCAGGAAGTGGGGACACCCCACTGTGAGGGGTCCCTGTAAGAACACAGAAATAAAGGGAACAGACATTTAGTCTGCAGGTTAAATTAGTCACATTGATGAAAAACAGAGGCATTTTAGTGGACACTGCAGTCCCCTTTACAGAACGCACTGCCCCCGGGGTCTGGAACTAGAAGGTGAGGCTGGAGACCTTGGAGGCTTGGCTGAAACTGCGGGCCAGTGGGAGTCCGATGAGCATGACCACTGTGGCCCAAGGAGCAGCTGGGACTAGAAAGGGCTTCTCCCCATGGAAGGCAGAAGTGGGATGTCAATGAAACAGACAAGGAGTAAGGGGGTTCATCCAACACAGCTGCAGAGAGAAAAACACGGGGTGTGGAGCCCACCAAGTTTCTGTTCCCTAGAACGGGGCCCGCTGTGGGCAGGAATGGCTTGTTGGTGCCCTTCTGCCTGCACTGAGTAAAGCTCATACATTGAGCATTGTTGTAGGCCTGGCACTGGGAAAAACACAATCCACTCAACTGTAGGAGGTATCATCCCCATTTTATAGATAAGGTGCCTCAGGCCCGGAGAAATTCAGTGTTGGACTAGCATCTCACAAAGTGTAGGGACTGTGGGATCTCCAATCTGATCTTCCAGTAAATTCTGGATTTGCTGTCCACCACCAGTGAGTTTGGTCATTGAGATTCAGGCCTCTGAATAATTTCTGGATGTGCAATTTCCGGATGACCTCCCAGAGGTGATGGCCCTGCCTTTGAGGCCAGCTGCCACCCCAGGTGACCAGGTGACACCCGAGTCCCACCATCTACAGTGGCACAGCAGATCTGCCACACGTGCATTGTCTCCACGCGGCTCTCCAGATCTGTCCCGGGAAAGCAGGACAGATCGCCGCAGCCGGCGCTCCAAGCTGCCTGCTGAGCATTCTGTACTCGCAGGCAAACCTGGGTGCACATTTGCATTTGAAAAGTTGATTTCTGTTCCTGCCTGAGATTCTCATAAATCAAAAATGGTCAGTGTTTACAGCAGAGTCCAAAGGGAAAGCCGCTGGGAGAGCCCCAAACACTTAAAAATTCTATATGGGAACCAAGAAAACTTCATCTGAACACAAGAGACTGGAAGAACTAACAGGCCCGCTTTTCATCTGCTTCTCATTTAGAAAAATTGGACTACTGGGGAAAAGGGTAACAATAAAAATTGGAAGCAAAAAAAAAAAAAAAAATCTTTAAAGGCAAGCAGATCACCCATTCTGAAACACATAGAGGTTGATGCAATCCTACCCTTTCTCGAAGGCCAGTTAATTGTTTGGATAACCTGTCAGGCTGTGGGAAGGGTGACACAGAAATCTGACAGAGGGCTGGTGATCATGGCCACAGTGCCCACGAGAAGAGCTGTCATTCAAAAGCAGGGACCATCAGTCTTAAGACAGATTGAGTCCCTGTGACAGAGCTGTGGCAGGAACAGTATTTGCCTCTGTCAGGCCACCCCAAAGGCGGAGGAAGACCGTCCATAGATCGCTCTGGGAAATATATAATTGTGTAACATGTCATGTGTATTTAGTTATATATTTATAGATATATACACATGTGTACACACATATATATACCAATGTACTGGTGAGTTTAAAGAAAATAGATTATACTTAGAAAAAGGCAAAAAAAATAATTATTTGGAGAAGATGGCAGGGCAAAGATGGAAAGAGGAAGAAAAGTATGTCATTTACCTAGTTTTCCCTGTACATTAATCAGAAATCTTAATTTATCAATACTCCTTAGTATTTGTTTTAAATCAATTCAGACAAGCCTGTCAGTTGCTATTCTATAAAATGGGGCTGGGTTTAAGCACTGCAAAGAACAGGGACCCCATAGGACTTCTCTCCATATCCCAACCCCCAGACACTGTCTGAAACAGTCTGTCGAGCAGATGCACGGATGAACAAACAGGAACGAAAGAGCAGAATACATGACATGGAAATCAAGTACTTTAATATCAAAATACGAAAAATAAAAATGGCAAAACATACCTCAGATTAAAAGTTCTTTTCTTTGTTAATAAAAAAAATAAAGATTGATGATCCTTTTAATTAATGGAGTATTTTTTAATACTCCACTTAGAAAATTTTGAAGGAACCAACATTCAAATATTACCTTCTAAGGAACCTTAATTTCTGTGTTTAAATCATAACCTGTAGATGATTTTCAGGGCATAAATCAAGTTTGCACTACTGTAGAATTTTTTTGCTAAGTCACTGAAAATATAGCCTGAACTAATAGGTTTTTCTAAACAGAGCATGTTGGTTACTAGTTCAACCTAACAAAATGAACGATTGAGTACTATAATGACTGATATTTATGTAATATATAACTATATAATACGTTAGGAGATATATTTCTCTATGTTCATGTCAGTATAGAAATTTAATGACAAATATATTCTGAGAAATCCCACTCTTTATATAATATTTGTATTTGTATTTCCACTTATAGGAATACCATGCCAATGATTATTAAAAAAATGATGTCGATTCATTGAAATATTTATCCAGTTCCTGTCATTGGCAACAAAAGGTGCTCCCTTTCCTTAAACTCATTCCAATGACAGTGTCCTCTGCAAATCAATCAGGATTTCTATCTAAAGGATGTCAGAGGGAAAGAAGGAAACACACAATGGGGTTCAAAAGGATTAGTACAATCACTCTTTGTGGACAAAAAAATTGTGTTAGGTTTTACCACAAAAAAGACAGTGTTTTATTTTTGTGATCTATAGTATATATATATAAAAGAATATGAAAAAACAAACACTCA